TTCATCCCTTCTCCTTCAAAAACAAGAAAAACACCTAAAAAATTTACATATTTTTCAACTTAAAATTACAGCGCTTCACAACTTGTTACAAATTTGTATAGAATATTCTTGAGACATGGTACTGCCATTAAACGTTGACAACCTAAACAAATATCACAAACCCTTTCCCCTAGAAGGGGTGGAAACGTTTCCTTATTTCGCTTCGAGGTGAAGTTTTAGGAGGTTAGGTCTGAAAATTAGGTATGTTTTGTTTTCAATTATTGTACTACGTGTTAACTGTTTATATGTTATTTTAAGTACTAAAAAGAACTTAAAATACTTACGGTATAATTAAAGTTTATACAAATTTTAGTTTAACCTGTTAAATTTGAAAATGTGGGACACTTGTTACACAGAAAAAAAATATTAAATAACAACAAAAGTCACGATAAATAAATATGAACAAGTGGCAAAACCTTGGTTTTCATCAAGTTGCGTTTTTGATTTACCCGGAACTGAACGTATAAAATAAAATTTATTTTTTTGTTTGTTTCGCCAACGGATTAATCCATAATGTAAAACATGTTGTGGCCCAACGAATCGGACGTCAGTATGATCTAAGCGTATGCTCATTCTCTCTCTCTCTCTTTTATTGTTAGTAGAAATTTAGACTTGAGAGCATGTGTGGATAGAATCATAATTTCATACCTAATCAATGTTTTTTACAAATTGATCCGACCGTTTTTTTGCAAAGATATAGCAAATCAACTTTCTTAACTTCCGTTTCTGTTTATTAACTACCTGAAAATCGTATCTAACATCAAAAGAGTATAAACAAATCAAATTACTTAGCAATATAAACAGTTCTAAAGAATTTAATATTAGGTGTAATGATGTGATGTTAAACGGCATTATGATAAACTAGGACTTGAGTCCATTACAAAACGTTTTACTAACATTTGTAAAAACACTTGTTGACGACGAGTCGTGACTTCCGGTATGACTCTGCTGTATAGATATAAAAATAAAAGGAGATCGTCTGCGCGTAATCCGGCTCAGTCTATATTGCACGGTTTAAGATTATCTTTAATTACTCGTATTATCTTAAACCGTGGTCTGTTGTGAGCGCTAACGATCATAGCATTGCTACCTAATACGCTAGTGTATTTTTATTTTGTGATGGTTTTTTTAAAAAAAATATTTTATTCTTTACTATACGTATATATGTGTTGCTCGAGTTTTTTCTAAAAACGTAATTTACCTATTTATAATAAACTTTTTAGTTTACCCTCCACTATTTAGACCGAGTGTGGATTTTGGAATTTCATTAGGGTTCACAACTATTGCGAGTATTATTTGGTTTCATTGGTTTTATGAAACATTTTTCTGACGTTTTTTTTTAAATTTTTTATTGAAGAACAGTAATACGATGACAATATCAAAAATTACTAAGAATTCTTAGTGCGCATAACTGACCACCTGTCGATTTAGTTTAGGATGATGTAGAAAAAAAACAAAACTGTAATAGTGCACACATAAAAAGTGTATTTTAATAGTTGTTCCAACTTGTATACATGCTACGCGACACAAAGCTCTCTGTGTGATATATGTTAGTTAATATTGTTGCATGTCGGATGATTCGGTTTGAACGATTCGGCCACGTGAAGAACGATGCAAACGCTTTCGGAATGTTTCGCATTGGGGTTTTCAAGCGTTACGTTCAGACTGAGACAGCCGAACGAAAAAAACAGATTGTGTTTAAACGATAATCTGCTGATTTGAACTGTGTGTCTTTCCTGAATAAAATACAATATTACGGTGTATGGAAAATATAGCGTTGGCGTTGATTTTATAGTAACAATAGTGCATAATTTTTTATAGACGGTCCCCTGTGTCTCCCCACGGTTACTTGCTTCCCTGTTACCTATATAAGGTAATAAGGCGCGTGTGCTTATATACAGTCAGTATATGCTATTACTTTTTTTTTGGGGCATTTGAAATCCGCGTTCAAAACCGCACGGAACATCGGATGGAATACCAAGTCTGTGGCCATTACAATGCAAAGGCTGGTTTTTTGTATACAGAAACTTGGCGCTCTCGACCACGCACCTTTTGATTTCTGGTACACTTCAATGGATACCTTTAAAATGTTTGTAAAAAACGGTTAATCAATGTGTGATATTTTTATATATTATATATGTATTAATATTTTACTACTTAAATCAAACCTGGAAATTTTTTTCCCATTCTATAGTCGTCAACATGTCTACATAGCCATGCCCGCTGGTCGTAGCGGCTGTGTAATTGTAATTGGTGTTAATGATATTGCGGTTCGAAACATTGTCGCAGTTCCGAATCTCCTCAACTGTTATAATGTACTGAAATGGAAATAACTTTTAATTAATAAAACAACTGTTTTCCGACAATTGGACAATTGATTTACAAAAATTGTATTCGACTTTTTTATGTATAAAATGAATGTCCAATTCTGAAAAATACACATATACCTATTACTTATTATCCATGTAATTATTTATCGACTAGTATATTATAAGAAAAAGCCAGTACTGCGATGTCGGCACATAGTTGGGGTGGAGAATATTGGGGAGGGGATAGTCACAGGTCTACAGAAATTATTACAACTGAATGTAATGCGAAACAACTTTCAAATAAATGCCTCGATGCGAGAACAATACCTTCTCAGCTCCGCGTCGAAGCTAAAAACATAATACATAGTGTTGAAATGTTTTTCAGTGAATTAAAGCGACTCTAAATTGCAATTTTTATACTTGATCTAGCTGTGGTTAATTCGCGTTAACTTAATATTAATTAAATCCAACTCTAGACATAACATTGAACTAACAAGCGTTACATAAAAGTAATTTATTGTATAGTCTTACCGTTTTGGCTGTGATAACACAACACAGCAACGTCTTAAGAAATATAATAGTGGCTTTTAATAATGTCATGTCGGTAAATTGCTTTTGAGAATTTTGTTAAACCGATTGTTTCAGCATAAAAATATTAAATGAACGCTTTTGAATGTGTTGCCGGAAATTTATTTCTATGCTATAACATTTTTAGTACCATCGCGGCAGTGCATCTTAATGCTTCAATGGACAGCCAATTATTATTATTTTTTTTTTTTTGCCATTTGATGTACAACAATAGTATATCATGCGACACGCGATTGTAAAAAAAAAAAAAATCGTTTATAGTTCAGTAGAATTTTTTATGCACTGAAAAATATTTCATATAATAATTGCACTTTTTTGTGTATACCTACTAATATATAATTGTACACTTTCGCTTAAAATCGTACAATACTTATTCGTTAATAAATTATAAAAAACACAATTAACATATGTCAAAAAAAACAAATAAACAAACAAAACAACTGGATACTTTTTTATTTTTCATCTGATAATACTTATTTTTTTCATATAATATTATAACTCTCTATTTTCCTAAAAAAAAAAAAAATAATAATATTCACATAATATATTGTCATTATTTATTTATATTGGTACTTTTAGATGAACACAGTATGCTGTAGATATGTACAAAATATTTCAAAAATATATATGAAAAACCTTGAACTATGCAAAACAAACTTTTGAATTTGGTTTCTTTAAAATGTAATTCAAATTCGTAGCTTTTATAGCTGTTTTTCAGGCCATTTAATAAAAAAGATACACGAACTTCCGGACCATAATTATAAGTTAACACATTAATTTATTTATTTGCTAATAATCCAAGTCGATGATACATAATTTGGTATTTTGGTAAAGTAGCAAAATTGAATTCAAATTCTGACCCAGAAATAATACTTGGTAATACCTGGTCAATTTGTGTGCCATAACGACTTCCAACGAAAAATCCTAATGGATGACCAAATGACATTTTATAATATTTGTGATGCTTAGAAAATAATGGTTATATTATGTTGTACACACTCCATTTATTTATCTACCCGACCTTCACAATTTTTTTTTGTATTTAGCTATTTGAGTCATTACTATCCAGTTATCTCTGATCAAACTAATAAAAACGATTGTAGTGTTTGAACGTTTTTTTTTTTATCGATATTTGAATTCTTTGAAAGTTTAAAAACCGTTATTTGTGAAGTGTATTAACTAATATATTAACTATAATATACATATTTTATTTTGAGTCATTTAACTTGTCATCTATCATGGTCATCTTATTTTAGATGCGATGCGAAGCTTCTATGCTATTTTAGTAGTCTAACAAAAAATTGAATAGTTTACTATACCTACAAAACTTTATCTACATTTTATAATAAACGGATTGGATATATTTTGGAAACAGCTCAGCTATATTTGACACGTGAAAGCAGATTATTACGATATTACGATCATCAAATACATAATGTATGTATGAAATCACATTATACAATTATAGTTGATTGTTTTGTTTTAATACATTTTTGTGGGGGTTTTTTTTTTGAACTGAACTGCAATTTTCAAAACAGTAGTATTTAATTCATTTGTAGATATTTTTGTCATTAACTAAATCCACTGTTACTGTGTTATTTTGTACTTAACTGCAGCAACTTAAATTGTGTATACATTTATACAAATCAAAAGTATTTTAACATTAACTATAACAATATATTATTATAGATAATGAATTACGATATTTAATTTATAACAACATTGGGCTAGTTAACGATTTTTTTTAAGTATTGACTTAGCTATGTTAAAAGCCAAATTATGTGAGTAAATAACTCTGTTTATTTTAATTTGCTAAAAAACGAACAATAAGATAAGAAGAAATAATAAATAATTAGATCAAAGAACTTAAAGAACATTTTTAAAGTGATAGAATTATTAACATTATAATAACCATAATAACAGTTGAATTTTATTTATGACATCAACATTTTGTTTTAGTTTAATCAAATTGAAACTAGTAAATTAAATTCATGTGAATATATTATTATTATGAAATTTATACAAGATAAAAATAAATATATAATAAATTCATCACACCGCATAAATTGTTAAAAGAAACCCTATTCTTATTATGATGAGTGCTTAATAGCTTTTTCAACGACGTTGAGTATAATTAGTGCGAGTTATCTAAAGGCAAACTGCACGTTGGATGATTCAGAGAAAATGAAGTGCCAGAATGAAAAATCATACAGAGGTTTTCTATGTGATCGTCATGCTGTTGAGTAGACACAATTTTCCAACAACCGAACGGCAACAGAGGTCTGTATTTGGTAGCAAACTTACTGCCACTAATAGCAAATCTGGTCTGAATAAAAAAAAAAAAAACAATATATAATATTACTTATTGGTTAAACGACGGTATACCGCAATATAATAATGGTTTACTAATGGTTTATATGTATAAAATACTGGCGTTTACTTTAGATATTGGACATTGTTCGTCGATCCGCATAAACATTTTTCGAAAAAGCGGACAAAGCAACATGTCCGAGGCCAACAACAAACAAAAGTTCATTCTCTGTGAACTTAAGTCGGGGTCTCTTACCCACGTGCCGTTTGTGTCCTTAAAGACGTCCATGGTTAGCTAGAAGAAGATAAACACAAGACTGACGGGTGTATATTTTTCATGTTGTGTATGTATACACAATTACTGCATACCATCATGTTGTCTTCGTCTTGGAAAGGCATAACTATTTCATAATACCCACGACCTACGCCGGTAGCGGCCGAATAGTTGTATTTAGCGTCGATCAACTTACGGGTGGAGTTTTTGTCACATATTTTGAACTGTTCCACGATTATCTCGTACTGCGGGCAAAATCAATTTAGTTATTTTCAACAGCAAATAACAAAAAAAAAAAAAATATTGAACGATAACCGTCTTACCATATCTGCCGTCATGGTGAAATAAAGCAGAGCAATTGAAATATATTGTTTGACGCCCATAAGATTCATGGTGGTGGAATTAAAATATAAAACTGTGGAATTCCAAAAAAAAACTACTGCTTCTGAGTTGACTGTAAAATAAAAATGTGTAACGAAGTTATAAACTATATTAGAAAAGTAGCTTAATACAAAGTGTTAAAATATAAGTGTCAGTCTAAATACTCAAATACCAAAATGAACTTGATGGTTTATTATTGCCACTATCGTTCACTTTACAAACTACAAATAACCACATCTCTGCGTTCAGTATTTTTAAACTTGTACTTACTGATAGCAAATAAAGGTAAGCCCAAGAGCGATTTTATTTACCGATGAAAAGTTAAATGCACATTTGCCAAAAGTTTATATATTTGTATCTGACACTTTTAACAATCTTGGGGTCTTTACTAAACTAGTTTTTCATACTTATTATAAATTGTATTTTTCAAAACTTTATTATTGCTTATTTTACCTATAGTCGACATCTATAAATTTGTATTGTGTTACATTAAGTTGTATTCTAAAGTTTTAGCTTCTGTTCGAAGCTGGGAATATTTTAAACTCGTAATGATGTGTTAATTTTTTTTCATAGCTTGGCTGATTTTATCAGTTGATAAGTAACTTTAACTGGAAAATTTATTAGGAATTTTAAAATTAAAAAGCTTACTTTTTCTCTCTCATAAACGAGGAAAAAAAAAATTTATTAAATTTATTTAGAAATATAATTCAGTGACATTTGTATGTCTCTATAACTTGCTGAACTTCCCTTAGAATTGGTAAAATCTACTAAAAGTAAAAAATTAATTGATTTTAAAGGCAAATTTAGGTATAAAACTTTGTATTTTAGTCTATTAACTAAGAACTTAATTACGTTTTAAAAAGCTATGTGTTAATTTATTTCTACATTTTTTTTTTGCCATTCCTAATGTCAATGTTTGGTGTAGGTATTTTTTTTTTAATGTATTACTTACAATATTGTATTTTTGTTAAAACTTCAATTATATATTTGTATTTTATTTAATAAAGTATTTTTTTGTAAAGTTGTAATGTATATGAGTTAATATTTGTTAAAACGTGGATTTTTTTTAATTTTAATAAATTTGTGACTTCATAGTTCGTTAAATTGCTTATGAAACAAAACGTGTGAAACTCTGTAAACATCCAAACTCTCAACGATTTGATAGAGTTGTGTAATGAAAAAAAATATCGTTCAAGGTGTTCGTCACGAAATTATTAATAAATGATATATCTGATGAGCATAGTGATTTTTCTACGCTGTAGGCATAAAACGTGTCATCTAAATTTATCATCATAGTTTCGACTAATGTGTTAAATTCATCTAACGCGAAAATTACAAGTAACGTGTGTACCTATCCGTTAAATTATTCCAGTAGTCCTACAAGGTTTGCTGGTCACATATAATACACACTAATATATGTACTTGTCGGACGGCCGCAGTGCTTACCGTACAAAACGGTTATGCATACAATTATATTTTAGTAACCAAATGTTTTGCACCGAATCGCATTGGACGGCACAAGCGTATGCAATTGAAACATCTTAAATGTAAATTAAAAAACGGTTAAAAATAAGTGTACTCACCTATTGTTTTTGATGCTGTTGTGTATTTTTCCCTGAAAAACCTACGAGCGACTTGACAAACTTTTATCAACAGTTAAATCATGCACAAATGCAAACCGTTCGTCACACTGGTCGGATTAAAATTGAACCGTCGAATGTGCTCGAAAATCGAAAACGGTTTACAATTTTATACTATACACCCATGTATCAAGGTTATTATATTTCACCCAGTGAGAACAAATTGATATCGAATTACAGGATATAGGTACCTACTAGGAGATTACTATGGTACAGGATGTCGCCTAATGATAATATTGTTATTGAAATGGGATTTTCCAATATAAAATTTGCGATTAGGCTAAATCCATTAATGTCGATCCGAAGTTTCTGCGCATTAACCAAAAGGTCGTTTCGGTGATTGGACAACTCGGTCGAATGGTAGTTTTTGGTCAAAACCTAATTTCAGCCAACAAATGAAAGAAAGAAAAAAGTAAATAGTTTGTAAAATATAAACAAAAATAAAAACAACTTGCATGTTGTTGTAAACAAATTCATAAGCGAATTAAAAAAACCAGTACAGTGGGGTCGGTGCATAGTGGGGACGGAAAATAGTTGGGACGGGGCATATTGGGGACGGGGAGGTCACAGGTTTACAGGAATTTTTCAATCTGAAAGTGATAAAATCACTTTCGAAAAAAACCAGTACAGTGGGGTCGGTGCATAGTGGGGACGGAGCATAGTTGGGTCGGGGCATTGTGGTGACGGGGAGGTCACAGGTTTACAGGAATTTTTAAATCTGAAAGTGATAAAATCACTTTCGAAAAAACGCTTCGATGCAAATTGGTAGTTAGTATTTTCAAGCCAGTACAGTCCAAACCAAGCACAGTATAAACCAGCAAAGTTAGAAAGTTTTAAATGAAGATTCTGTATTTACAAATGAGCATCAAAGCGTTTATTTGAAAGTGATTTTATCCGAGAGGACTAGTACAGTAGAGTATTGGCATAATGTAATCAAGGCAATGAGGAAACGGAGAGGTCACAGGTCTACAAGAATTATTATAAACAAAAGTGATAAAATTGAATAAAATCGCTTTCAAATAAATGCTTTGATGCTCATTTGTAAATACAGAATCTTCATTTAAAACTTTCTAACTTTGCTGGTTTATACTGTGCTTGGTTTGGACTGTACTGGCTTGAAAATACTTACTACCGATTTGCATCGAAGCGTTTTTTCGAAAGTGATTTTATCACTTTCAGATTTAAAAATTCCTGTAAACCTGTGACCTCCCCGTCACGTTTATGCCCCGACCCAACTATGCTCCGTCCCCACTATGCACCGACCCCACTGTACTGGTTTTTTTTTTTTTGCAAAAACTTAGTGGACCAAATAACACATATACAATGTCTTGTTATATTTTGTTGGAATGGTCGACAATTCATGTTTCAATCGTTTGTACTCCATAGTTTAAATTATAATCGCTTATTCTCAATAAAATTAATATTTATGTATTATATACTTCCATTAAAGCAATCTCACACAAACTATTTATACTTCACAGATTATATTATTTCAAAGCCTTATTATACTTCTATTTTACTAGATTGACAATGTACAAAATGAAATGCAACTAAAAAAACCTTTTCATAGATCCTTAAAATGTAAATGGTGGGATAGTGAAACGGGTTTTACCATTTAAATACATTAGAAAATCGCCGTTTTACTGCCTCATTCTGTATATTAATTTCTTGTTATTTTCTAAAGAAAAATCGATTTTCTTACATTTAAATTAAAATAAATCGTATACTGGTACTGTGATGGAGAAAACAATAAATTTTACCTACATTTATTACTTATTAGTTAAATATTACTAACGTGTATAACCACTAGCAATCGGCTGTTGCCTGTTATTTAACAATAACCTTTTATGGAGATTTTAAAAATTGTGTTTTTTTAATAATAGCATAGGAGCAGTATCATGATGTTAAATGTTCACAAGATTTGAGGTATTATCATTTATGACTTAATTATTATTAAAATTTATCTTAATAGTAATAGTACATAGTACATTTTTTAGTTGATAAACTAAAAAATTAAAATTAGCACGAAGCAGATTATCTAATATTAGACAATTTAAACAATCAAGCGTGAATATCTTTAAATGAATAACAGTATAACAATAAACAAAACATTAGTTTTCCTTTAAAAAAATTGTATAATAAAAAAAACATTTTGAGGCGGTATACTGCATAAAAACCAACACTTAATCTGAATCCAAAAAACAACAGTCCTCTTCATTATTTGCAGGTAGTTGGACATTATATACTCATAGTTACACTTCGGAAAGGTTATATAACGCAGGCTATAAAATAACGAGATAACGACAGTGGTTTTGTCGTATCACAATCATTAAGTGTCTTAATAAGTACACGGATAGGTTTTTTTCCCAAAAAATCGAGTTTCTACTATAATCAGTTACACGATTTAGTCGCCTATGATATCATGTAATAAACACAATATTATGATACCGATCATTGGGCCCTAACCTAATCTAACACGGATAGACGTTACCAACTGAAAGTTTTTAGTGTCTGTTCGTTTCTCACATCTGGTACACCGGGTTTTTAGTAAAAAAAAAAAAAAAATTGAATTTGTGTAAACTTTAAGTCAAAAGTGGTACTTGAGCACAAAACCTAATAGTATCATTCTGCATAGATATAAATAAAATTGTTTTAATGATTTGATCAATTTTTTTTAAAGATTTTAGGTGTTTTTGTTAAAATATACGAAATCTGCGAAAACACAGTTTCCGGGCAATTAAAAAAAAACTGTAGTGCCGAATTTTTTTCCCGTTTAATATGTTATGGGTACATATGAGTTCCAACTACTGGCAAATTTTCAACCCAAAAGTTTCAAAATTACCGCTAAAAACCCCGAAAAACAAAAAAAATTGTACCCCCCCTAGGGGGGTGGGAAATGGGTATAGTTTAAGTTTGACACAACTGACGTATGCGGGCATACCAAATAATTATTTCTTATACATTTCAACTCGATCCGACTATTTTTCTCGAAATTATAGCCAGTAAAAGTTCTAACTTAAAAACTCGTACGGTTTTTTTTTTGTTTTTTCTACTTTCGTCTGTGAAGAATTAAACTTTTTCAACTTTTACCCCCCCAAAGTACCAACTAGATGAAATTTGCGATTTATAGAGTTGCTACTCGAAGGAATTGGTCCAGTATTAAAAAAGTTACAGTGTATACAGATAAAAAAAAAACACACATCAGAGTAAAACCAATACCTTCTCGCTTTGCATCGAAGCTAAAAACGCTTCGATGCAAATCGGTAGTTAGTATTTTCAAGCCAGTACAGTCCAAACCAAGCACAGTATAAACCAGCAAAGTTAGAAAGTCTTAAATAAAGGTTCTGTATTTACAAATGAGCATCAAAGCGTTTATTTGAAAGCGATTTTATCCGAGAGGACTAGTACAGTAGAGTATTGGCATAATGTAATCAAGGCAATGAGGAAACGGAGAGGTCACAGGTCTACAAGAATTATTATAAACAAAAGTGATAAAATTGAATAAAATCGCTTTCAAATAAACGCTTTGATGCTCATTTGTAAATATAGAACCTTCATTTAAGACTTTCTAACTTTGCTGGTTTATACTGTGCTTGGTTTGGACTGTACTGGCTTGAAAATACTAACTACCGATTTGCATCGAAGCTAAAGTTGTAAATGTGTCTTTTATCATTTAAATATTTTAAATTTTTTGTCATTTTACTAGCCATATTGTTATATGTTATGTTCTGCTCAAAACTGTATATTTCCACCTTGTTTGGCATTAAGTTTTTAATAACAACATTAATCTCAATTAGGTATGGAAATTGCTCACAATGCCGCACTTAGGGTTTAAGAAGGTGGTTATGGTTACATTGTTGAACGGGCCATCATAACGAAACCCGATTTTTTAAATACTAGTTAAATATATTCACTTTGATGCAGACGTTTAATGGAAGAAGTTAGTTTAGCTACTGCAGTTATCATTGTATAATATGTAATAATATGAGGTCGAAAAAAGTGTTTTATAATATTCAAGACAATTTTCGTTTTATATTTTCTCATAGTGTAATAATACACTTCAATGTAAAACTTATTTATACACTATTTTTAATTCTTAATTACATACCAATTTAAATTTATGATGTATTTTTATAGCGAATGAACAAAACTTGATGGACTTGCATCTGATATGCCATAAAAAAAAACATTATGCAAACATGAAAATTGACAATATTATAATTGACAATTGGCATGACAACTATGTATTATTTTGAGTTGTTAATTATTTCGACTGTCACTATGGCTCGGTGTTGGTTACTTGTAATAGTAATAATAATAATATGCTCTCGTCGAGTAAGTGGCACCGAGGTGTACAAAACGATTAAAATATTATACTTTAGTGTAATAAACTAGTATAGTATTTTGTAGCCATAAGCTTTAGACGGCGCGCACTTATGCAATTTAACACCACGCCAGTGTGCTGGTCCCGTTGCCAGTATCCAAACCGTTCTTTGTTGATAAATAGTTGTACAACATAATAGTATTATGGAGTAATTGAAGTCTGATTATTATCAGACAAAACTCCATAATATTTTAATTGACACCTAGAAAACGGGGTAAACTGTATACAAGTCACACAAGCCCTTCGATAATAATAGTGTGTACAAGGTTTACTTTAGATTGACGTTGTTTGAGATCCGCTGTACATTTTTTTTAACGACTTAAATTTTTTTTCGAACACAAACACACTTGAAAACGATCCTCTTAACGTTCACCGGTAGAGTCATCGTTAGTAAGCAATTTTGCTGTATCATATAAACCGCAGTAACGGCAAACGTGACTACTTACGGGACACTTGTAAGGTATATACCTATATGTGTGTGCGCACATATACATAGATAACGCCGCACTAGAAACCCGTCTGGTAGAAAAAACACTGCCCTATCAATCAATTTAATTTTGTTGACCGAAGCTAGGTCAAGTATGTGATTGATTATGTTAATTAATTTCACTGCTAGTCGATGTTCAATATTGTCGAAAAGAGCAACAACGTGAAGAGTTTTAAGTGATGTGCAATTTTAAACACTAATGTTTTAAAAACAACAAAATGTTTATTTACAGCCAGTAATTTCATGGTCAACGAATCTATTAGCTGAGAACTTAATATAAAAAGAAAAATTGTTAATTTAAATAGACTTTCAAACAAACGGTTTTCAATTCTTAGGTTTATCTGATTACTTTGTAGTTTTTATAATAAAAATCATCAAACTCATTGATTTGCCATTGGCGTGTGTTGTTTTATTATGATGAAAATATTTCATTCATTTACAGCACTCAAACATTTTCGGTTTATAATATCTTGTAGAGTGAATTGTTGTCATTATGTGCGTTGTATGTATGTTTGTCAAATTAGTATAACATTTATTATGCTATTACAAAGTGCTTGAAGAATTGAATGTGTGAGAGTGGTGGTCGACGACAGCGTGAGAAAACATACAAGTGGTTTGTCCATAAAAATTACTTTTTGTAATTATTTAACTTGAATAACAAATAAATAAAATATAAACGTAATAATAGTAAATAAATAATTAATAATACAAAACAATCCGGTAATAAACAAATAATAACTATTGTTACTGGGTAATAATATGTAAAAAAAAATTATATTATATTTTAAATGAATATAATATTGTTATAATTATTGGTGTCGTAGAACATTACATATTGCTGTGAAACATTAAATTATTTCAATCTTTAATAATATGAAAAACAAATACGGAGTAAAACATATACAAATTATTACACATATTACTGGTCCGTATATAATGTAAACAAATACACTCTATGACAAATTTTAATATTAAGAATGTAATAATTATTTTTTGCGCGTTTCAACCGTAATCACATTTGTCTAGGTAACTATATAGTAATAATTATAGTAAAAAAACATTATTAATATTATATTAAAACAAACTTTAGTATATTTAACGTTTACACCGACCGAATTCAGAGCTGCTCCGTCACAGGCGTTTTTTAAAAATTTAATTTTAAAAGAAAAACATAATAAAATTATAAATCCTAACAATAGTATACAAAAGTATATATATACCTACATATATATATATATATATATATATAATGGAAAAACACAAATTTTCTTCTTTATTAAATCTTAGTCTTTGGTTAACATATACCCTGGTCGTAGTACTGAGCCATGTCGTGGAGACCGTCTTTGAACGTCGAGTACACGTCGTCCACACAACCGTATCCGGTCGCCCCGGTGTACTGCGACAAGTCTGTCCGGTAAGGCGGTTGGCCCGGCGAATAAATGTCGTGTTGATCGCCTTCGGCGCCGTTGAACATGGCGTCCTTGAGGATCAGCGACTCGGTCACCGTGACGGACTGATGTTGGAGATGGGGGATGTGCGGCTGTTGTTGGGGTTGGGCTTGGAGTTGCGGTTGCGGTGGTAGTTGCGGTTGTTGTTGTTGTAGTTGTGGTTGGGGTGGGACTTGGAGTTGTGGTTGTTGTGGTTGGTGTTGGGGTTGGGGTTGATGGCCGTAAGGGTCGGTGGCTCCGTATGCCCCCACTACTTGGTGTCCCAAGTCCGGAGACGACACCGTTGCCGGGTTGGCGTACTCCTGTTGTTGTTGTTGTTGTTGTTGTCGTTGTTGTTGATGTCTCTTGGCGCACGGATGCACCGTCAGCATTTTCATCAGCTGGTTGCGCTGCGTCTCCAGCTCTTGGATCTGGGTCTTCAGGTCGTAGTTCTTGGTCTCCAGCACTTCGGACTCCTGCGGGCACGACAAAAAGAACCAGTGTTATATGTATATATATATTGGCTCATAGGTGGGCACAGGACAACATAATACCGAGTGATTCTTTTAACGCCCTACACAAGTTTAGTCTTAAAATGATTACAATTTTTTTGTTGTTGAAAATATTTTTATTTATGTTATAGTACAATATTAGACGGTATACAAAAATGTTATCTTATTTAGCATTAGCTAGAGCTTTATAAACGTTTGAAACTTAAATGGTAACATATAGATTTAATTGAATTTTTAAATTAAGAACAATTTACTGAAAAAATTGACTGCTCGATAATCAGTTTTGAATAATTTTATTTTTAAAGTTATTTAAGTTTAAAATTTAGGACGGGCTGTGGAGTGCAGTTGAGAAATGCGCGCAGATAAAAATAACTCTACTCTCCACCATTCCTCTTGTAGAAAAACTACGAAATATCATTTATTTTAAGAGAAAACTGGTGTAGGGCGTTATAAGAATCACCCAATATATAGCTAGCTTAATAAAGGGTCGAACTTTGAACGTTCCCTTAAAAACAAAAGCTGTTGCTCTGAAGTGTTCTTTCTATATAGTAGTGAAAATTATAGTTCCATTTTCGACTTATAATATATTAAAAAACCACTTTTTAGCCACAGTGAAGTGTTTATTAAACAATAAGTGCTAGAAAAGTTTTTTTTTTATATCGGTGACATAGGTTAGGAAGTACTTATTTTTTTTTTTATTGACTTTTATTGAAAAAAATAATGGTTCAACAATTACAATAGTTTATAGGTGTTATAGTTATCACTTGTAAATATAGATGTCAGATGAATAAGGAAAAATCAGGAAGGATACCAATTGAAGACGGGAAAAAGCAACAACGAGACGTCTGGCAATGTCAAGACCTCTGAACCATGGTTGGAAAGAGATAATGGGAGTTATATGCCTATGCCACGAGTTTGGTCGGAGGGAGGAGATCAGAAGGAAGGATTTTTTTAAAGGACAAAAATAATAGTAGAATTTAGCGGGAAATACAAGGTGGTCGGTTCGCTTGTTTCCAGCAGTACCCACATGACTAAATGGAAATGGACATATTATACTGATTTTTGAAACCATTATATAGCTATACTAATATGTGTAAAACTATTTTTACTCATAACTGTTAATTATTTAAAACCGAGAAAAGTCATGTTGAAGGCTCGTGGAAGACACTAAGACATTAAGGCGATTAACAAATTGCACTCGAGATTATTTTTTAGACAAATAAAATAAAAACTAGCGTTGTAAACTTGCGCAGTCATAATAGTATACAGGCGGGTTTGACTGACTTATGCACATAAAGGGTGCTCGGTGTTAAGCGCAAAGAGGGAGGAAGACGATCTGGCGCTGGTCAGATAAGAGCTAATAATATGTATTTAATAATAATATTATTGTTGGTATAACAAAAAGAAACTAAGCGTGCCGTTGTCGATCAATTCAAAGTAGTATACAATATTATTATTAATACTGTCCTTGCATATTATGGTGGGCATTCAATTAAAGTCACGTTTTTCTTAAGTTAAATCATAATTACATATCTAATAATTTATTTAGATTGTTTTTTTTAGTGTAAATTTTTCTATAAAGTCTATAAAGAGTTTTTTAGAGTCAGACCATCTTAAGGGTTTTATCACGTTTTGTACGTTAACAAAATAATTATTTGGCGAAATGACACAATAGTTTGGTAGTGTTTAGTTTTTCTGAAGTGGGCCCAAAACTAAAAAAAAACCGGCAATCGTTTGTCGCAAAAACACTATCGCGTGCTTGTGTACTTTCTATACTTAAAAAAACAATCGAGTTTCGACTATAGTTGAACAAACTCCAACTATTATTATTCCAACCGCTTTGCCGCCTATGTGGTTCCGAGAAAAACGCTATCTTCTTCTTCACATCGAGTCCTTGGACTTATCGGCGCGCATTAAGTTTTACAACGGGAAATTGCTATTTACACACGCCAGTAATATTAAATAAAAAAAACACAAAGCCTTTTTTTTTTTAAAAGACACTCATATGCTGCATCGTTTAATTACCGATTTAATTATATGCAAGATCAATGCAAAACGTTCTAAACGTTAAAGAACATCGCAAGGTCTTAACTGACAACTTACAAGTGTGCACTGAACACACACACACAATATAATATATTATTATCATTGATACGTCGTAGTTGGTCAAAGTTCTGTCTAATGTACTTCTCAAATAATATTATTATGTTAAGAACGCGTATCCGTCCGTGGAATGCCGGGCTTTAACGTTATTTTTTTTGTCACACAACACAATTTTTTACTGCCCGCCGAGTGTGTGATGAATGTGAGTCTGTGTAATTTTTTACACGCCGTCTACTTGCGGCGTTTATGACTTTTAATGTCAAACTATAAAAAAAAAAACACCCGTTCATTAATGACGGTGTCCGACGCGGATACAACGGGAAGTTGGCATATATTATAAAATTGTACAAACGACAATAGGCGGTTGTCGTGAAAATATATTCGCATCTTATCATTAAATAATTATTGTATAGGTTTTTTTTTTATTTTCCGTTTTAACAACAACGTTGTAATTAGTAATTACTAGGAAGCGGCATTAGCGAATAATACTGTACGAATATACATATAGTTGTATTATTATTCTATCTTGTTTGCCGACAACGTCAGTATCTATATAGTTGCTAACTAAACTCCACACACGTTTCACTGCTCAAGTACACATTGGCGATTAATATGTTCAGTGCCAATTTTCGAAAAAAATTCACTTTGCATTACACTAGCACCTTCGCGGACTACGGTAGACATTTTGAACGGTACGCTGGTCGAATAAAAAAATGCTCAACCGACGAAGAGAGTTTGGCCGTTTATGTTCAATTGATTCTTCTTCTTCGCCTTACCAATAGAAATAAACGTTTACTATTAACCTACTACCGATTAACGCTGGAGTTTCAAGATTTCCGTCCTGGCATGTCTTGAATTCTCCCGTTTTTTTTTATGTTTATGTGGTTAGGTTAGGTTAGGTCTAGTTAGGTTATTACATAATTTGATGGGGTTACAAAAAAATGTGTTTAATTTAGGCGGCGCCTCTTAGTTACTCGAGACATTGCTTTTTGGGCACAGGTTTTACTTACTTTTCCCAAATGCCTGATAATTTAATTTATATAAAAAAAAATGAATAACATTCGGCATCGAAGGTTTAAATAAAACGGTGCATTTATCACATTTATAACTGTTCACACTTATACACTCATTTAGTCACTGTTTAATGATTCCATTTATTTTTATTTTCAAATTGAATGTTAAGTAAAGTGATGACATTAAATGCATTTTCATTGTGTACCCAAAGTTTGAAAAATAGTTGTTCTATTCTTTCTAGTGCACGCGATTGTAACAATAGTGTATCATACGTTAAAAAAAATATGCAATTTTATTTTCTTAAAAATTTATCCGGTGGACGTTTGGACCAACACGAGCTTTATCATAATATGCCTCTGGAGAATAGATTTTCTTTTGTTCCCTACTCAGATTGCGCTAACGTTGTCGATTGTATCGCATATGTATATACATATATATATTATAGGAAGACAAGAATATATGACTGCACATTATTATACCCATTGGATCGCGGCTTTCGATCTGCCCCGTGATAAACGGCCGACGTACAAACGCCTATCACGCATTCTATTTCTATTTTGTGGGTCCGCCGCGTAGGAGTCGGTCGTTCGGTTTGCATAAATCCAGAATGTCACATGGATAATGTGCACGAGCACGTGGCAGTAGTATAGGGTTGGCAACCGGCCAAGGGTTTTCATAAGAATAGTGTAATAAATACACGGTTTATAGTGTAATAATAATAATAATAATAATAATAAGACAATGGCCGCGCGAACTCACTTGTACCAGGTTGACGGTTTTTTCTCGTTTCTTCAGCCGACACTTTGTGGCGGCTATCTTGTTCCTTTCTCTCCGCCGCCTTCTCCGTTCCTCGTCTTCCGCAGTGAGCTACAATAAAAACACACAAGTTCACATTAATAACACACTACCACGGAATCCGGTTACACTATACACTATGCACCTAATACTTATCGCGTTGGTATTTGACAATACTGTGAACGATTGCATTGGCAACAGTTATTATAATATTAATGCAATAAGGAGTTTTAACTGGGTTATCAAGGGGATTGAAAGCTGACGGGATTTATATAGGCAATATAGAAGAAAAAAAGGGTATTTAATAAATTTGTATTCATTTTGTGGTTTAAATGAAACCGTTTTTGACGAAGCAAAAAAACCCGAAGCGAGAAAATGTAATCTTCAAACTTCAATTTGGATAAACTCCCTGTTAGGGTGACTTGACTTTGATTTCTGGAAAAAAGCTCATCCTATAATTTTTCATTTATACACATTTTATTAGGCAAGATCGGTTCATAAAAAAATTTAATTTAATTTAAAAAAACTCCAATTTTCTAATGGAAGAGTTTTATATATTCTTTTATTGCAAAAAAGCTGAGCTGTTGAATGGCTGGAGATAGAGCTTGCGGTGCACGAATAGGGTTAGATCTGGATGATCAAAGTTAAAATTATTTATTTTAAATAAGCCCGTCAAAACAAAAACAAAATCGTAGTACTCGGGTAAAAGATATTATAACAAATATAATATAATCTTATACATGATATTATAATGATTTTTGTTCTGTACAAAATAAAGGTTTGGTCAAATCATTTATCGAGCTATCCATTTTGGATACAAGACCTTTTTAACCCCCACACACATCAATTTCGACATTGTCGTTTAGGTATTTTCGTTTTTCTTGCAAATTATGTCTCTTTCTCAATGCCAACAATCACTTTCATACATCACCGTTTGGCCGTTTTGTACGATTTCCCTTTCAATCTGAATATGACATTTTTCCTATTAGGTTAGGTTATGACACTATTCTCTTGCATGGCCTACCCCCCCCCCCCCATCCCGTAAAAAAAGGTTGATTGAATGGGATTGATTTCGATTTCGTATAGGATTGGCTTGTAATAGTTGAAACAAGGGTATTAGGGGATGTACTGCGGGGGTAACTCACCCCTTCGCCGTGCGAGGATACGCCCTCGTCGTCGTCGTCGTCCCCGTGAGATTCCTCGCATTGCCGGCGCTTCTTGGTCGAACTGCCGGCCGACACGGTGCTGGCCGGCGACGTGGCCGCGGTCTGGTCGATGGCGTTCCTCTGCTTCGACCGGATGGCCAACTTGAGTTCTTCCTTGATGAGAAGACTCGAACAAATGCTTTGCATCCGGGGCGGAGACGCCGGCGAACACGAACCGGAAGAGTCCTCGGAGGCCGGCGAACCGGCGTACCTGTCGAAGGGGTTCATCATGGATATGATGGAGTTGATCACGTCCGGGGTGTTGGGCACCTGAGTAGTACAACCGGCCACGGTGCTGACCGCCGACTGCTGCTGACTGCTGGTAGTCGAATACATCATGTCGGCACAACGGTATTCAAAACTGAGATCTGGTAAATGCGTCGTCGGTAGAAATGTGGTCGAGGTAAAATGTAAGTATACGTGTTATCACACACACACACAACGGTCCTGAAACCACAACGAGAAAAACCAAATCCATTAAAAACCATTAGTCTGACATAAAAAAAAAGAACATATTATACGATAACTGTTAATTATTGTTGTATTGGATTTAAAGTACACCACCGCAGTTTGGTGTTTAGAGGAGAAACGAACGCCACCATTAGTTTAGGTACAATATGTGATTAGTACACTATTATAGAACGATGCGGAAACGGGCGGTGGCCATGTCGCATCATACAAAATAAGAGATTATGTTTTTTCAAGAAAATTGTTAGTTATTTATTGAATTTTTTTTTCTCCTCGGGTAATACGCCGTACTCGAACACTCCTATCAGTCAGCTCGCTGTGTTATGCTGGTTTTCCCCTCCCATTTTATAAACCACACAAGGGATATTCTGAATACATAATGCGTTTTAAATGTCATCAAAAACAAGACGGCAATATTATTAGCAATCTTTGCGCGCCTTGAGTTTGTGTGTTTCTCGGTAGGTACCTACAGTACGGTGAATGTATTTTTGTACCGTCACTTATTATTCATTACATTTGGGCATCGGCTCTTCTACAAAAAAACACCCATTCAATCATTTAAAATTGTGAATACACAAGTATTTCGAAGAATACTGCTCGTTTGGAGTTTACGTCGAGGTTAAGATTATCGCTGTACACTTATACACTATACTTATACTTAGTATATATAATTTACAAGTCTATGACATGTGAATTACAAACAATTATAATATACTGTGCGCGTTCATAAATCTGAAACGACACTATATACGGTATATAAAGTTGAACCGTTAAAACCATTGATCATTACCAGAACCCCATAATACCTCACCTGAGATTGTCCGGGAAATATGAGTGGTTTAAAAAAAAAATAATAATAATAAATCTAATGCGTTTCGAGAGCGAGTGCGAACAATATGCGCATAACAGTTGTGAACAGAGTGAGCGACACATTGTATTGTAATATTATATTATATATTATGAAAATACGAAATAAAAATATAAAACAGACTTACCTACCGCTCCCTAATGGCCACGCCTACGACTATTCGCATGACAAACTTAACCAACGACGGTGCTCATCAATCAAACCGTTTATGTGTGTGTGTGTACTTAACTTTTGTCACCTGGTTTGTGTTTACCAAACACAAAACAATATTCGTGATATCATTGAAATAGGTATAATAATACTGTAACGTCGTCGGTCGTAGGTATTATATTATTCTACTTCCATTAGGCCAGTGTCTAAGGCCATCGCCGGTCGAATGTGTGTAGTAATATACGTGCATAATATCATCTATACGCGCTGTAACGACACAAATGTGAATTTATTGTGTTTCGGGAGGAAAGCCAAAAACGGCGTGCAATTGAAACGTATAAATCACTCGCCATTGGTATATAATATGGTCGGCCTGGGGGATATCGAATTTCAAGGAAAGTATTATTTAAAAAAGGGTTCGCTATCCAAAAAGGATAGGCACATAATGTTGTAAAAAATGTTGTTGCGTAGTTTGTAGTTTTAGATTTATTGTTATCCTATAAGGTGTTATGCGCATATTAACAATGATATTATGATATTTCACTGAGATAGCTGCGTATCGATCACCAGTAGTGCTAATAAATCATCATAGGATAAAGTGGGGTGATGTTGTGTTGTAAACGCGAACGGAGCGATTATAAATATAATGATTATAATTTTCATCGAACAAGTGAACATGTGACGCCCAAGTGTAGGGTAATAAGTTTTCAGTTAATATTATATGCTTAATGTGTGGAGGGGTGAGAGTAAAATGGAAAAAAAATAAATATATCCAATGGTAAACGTTGTAATGATAATGATTAAACATGTAAAACAAATTGTAGTACATAGGAGAATAACGTGGAGCTTTGTAGAGGTTAATCATTTTTCATTTTCGGGATAACCGTTAATTTATTTGAAAGACGTCCGATTGTTTAATAGCGATAATTAATCACTCGGTTAGGTCTCTCACTCTCTCTCTCTCGAAGGGTTCGGTTGTCTATACGCGATGGCGATAAGACGTCCAGGAAGAATGTAAGTCACGGCCTCGTTACCAGTAATCATGTCTGATTAATATATATTTAAATAAATCAACACCGCGGTTTCATTCATTAATTACCGCCACGGTATATATAACGCACTAATATAACCGGTATTGTGAATATCACTTGTGTTAATATTTGATATGAATATATAATTATTAATTACACGTTTCATTAACTGTGATGTTGAAAATAAAATTAAAACGATAATATCAGGAAACGACTAAAGCATAATGTTATGTCATACATAATATACTACGGTCCAGACGGTTTGTCTGGCTTGTCCACAAGCGGTTTTATTACTATTATTTTTTTTTTTTGAAAATCTTAAAATAAAAATGAATGTATACCTGCGGCGCATTAGACTGCGTGCGACCGAAGGCCGGAAGTCCGGTAACTGGTATGGGAAAATGCGTTGCGGCCACGGTGTACACGATACAAACATAGTATTATACTTCTGACGGCCGACCGACCGTGTGTTATTATAAAATAGCAGCGAGTTTGTTTATTTTGAAGACCACTCGAATTGATAACGCGCAAGACGGTGTAAACAGAGATTAGAGAGGCATCTGCTCTCGACGAGGTGTTTACAATGATTTCCCGACAATGCAATTCGTTTGAATTATTGCTCTGGCACAATATGCGTTTATCAGATAATAGAAAAGTGCATATTATGTTTGTTAAATATCACATATCACTGTACTATAATCATAATAAATTATACCTAGTATAGTAAGCGTTCCGTGGAGTAGACGAACAATTATTATTATTATTATTTTAATAGTATATTATATTATAATCCTTCGTCTAGTGTCTTCGAACCCCGATGACGTTTTGTCTTTGACATAGGTGTATATATAACCTGCAACGGGTAATCTTGCCGGATATTATACACCGGCAGGGTCTTATATTGCGGCGCGTTTGGCAGTGTCCAATCTCCAAATGGACTTCTTCCAGGAGTGCACAAAATCGCACACATTATGAAGGCTTGCCATTAACTCGACGAATATCAAGTGTTCAATATCGGTGATAAACGTCAGATTTCTGATTCTGAGAGAAAAAAGTAACTAGCAAATTAACTCGCGCGTTTAAGTTTAAAAATTAATATATGTATATGTATATTATGTGCCAATGTGTGTGTGTTTTTTTTCCTATTCCCCGGCAGCCTCTCGGTTTCCGGTCAGCTACATCATATTATTATTATTACTATGCATGTACAGTAGACGCCATTAAACCGTTAATAATTACACGCAGTTTGATATGCATGTATATTATACAGAGCTGTAGGCAGCTGTCCGTATGTCCTACAACGCAGCTAAAGTAGACGAAGGGATATATACCATCACCACCATATGCTGCGGTTTGCTCGACAAGCGCCCGGGCGCCTGTTTAATTCGCTTTTTTATTCCTGGAACGAATGGGATAAAAAACCACATATAGGAGGCCGTGTGACCGTATGAGTGTGTTTGTGTGTTTTTTTTTTAACTATTATTTATTTATCTCTTGACACTTATTATGTGACAAAGTGCCGCCGGTTTTACGACGGCGACAATTGCACACGTGCACTTTATAAGAAACATATTATACCTCCTCGCTCATCCGAAACCGCGAACGACCGTTTGTATTAATTTCGGCGAGGGATATATTATTTTTGCCTTGAGACGTTTTGGATTTGGTTTTAAATATGTATTTCGCAACGCAAACCCGTTCGGATCAATACCTCTATTCAAATTGGTTACGACTTATATGTTCACCTATTATTATTATTATAGTCTTAGATATAGCGTGAAACCCATATAAGAAATACCACACCCACACCCAGACTCTGATATTGTATTATTTTTTTTTATGAAGGAAGCCGCATGTAGTAGACGTTATGGCTAATTAGTGTCTATCAGCTATGTTATCTCCCACGAATAGTTATGGCGCCTTTCAAAACCTAGCGCTACTAATACACGGCCGTACACTTGTAATGTCAATAATCAACGAGTGTTTAATAATCGAAAAAAAACAGTCTACTTGTCTTGGAGTAAACGCTGATACAGATACAAGCTCTGTGGTCTAAACTAAAAACATTTAAAACACTGGCATTGACCAAAAATAACAGTTTTAAAAAAGAAATGTACACAAATTGTCTGTAATGATGTCTATAACGTATAGGTGGTCTTGAGAAACAATTCTCTAATTTCCATAAGAAAAATTACAAATGTGCATACATAAGCTTTATGCCGGTCATTATTAACTAATTTATTTTATCGAAAACGGCATATATTATACCTATATTTCCCAATGCAGGACCTCGACTGGCTACTGCGCCTTAATGTCGTGTGAATACATTTTTCGATGTCATTTTATGTTTTCATAATAACATGGTAGGTAGATACCACTTACCAGGTAATCGTGCAAGTTAACTATAGTATGACAAACGAGACGTAATGTATGTTTGAATTATAGCGTTGAACTTTAAACTTGCAACAATGCCCATTGTAGCTCATATGTATATAACATGCATGCACTGTTAATTATAATTATCACTATGGTATAATGATTTAGTATTTCGAAGGCCGATTGTGGAGAGTAGGACGTACAGGTTACAACATGCACTTTACCGGTAAATTACAGATAACAAAATAAATTAATAATTGATCCAACACAATTACATGTCTGCTGGAAATACATACTTTTAACCGGTGTGGTGATTTTTTTCTCATTAACATTCAGTTGTAATTTATCATTTTTGTCTTAAAAAATATTTACCTTAAGTAGTACTACTAAAACGGATGATAAAAATTTAAAAACAAATTACAAATTTAACGCAAATCACTTTAAACGACAAATAATTCGAATTTTGTACATAATACAGTAGGGTAAGAAGAACATACTTAATGTATAGTCGGGCTAATGCGGGCTATGATTAATATTGTTAAAAGTTATTGATAGAACTATGCAACGAAAGCCGAAGGGTTCATTAAAGAGAAAACCGTACAGATGTGAACCTTTGCGTGTCTATGGTTAGTAATATTGTCAATTATTGTAAATACACTTTAGTTCTATCACAGTTATCAGTTTTTCGAATAACAACAGCTTCTACAAACTTTAAAAAAAAATTGTCTTCATGAACATGTAATAAAAATACCTGGACTCGTTTCATAAATTGCGAAATACCAACATAAGTAGGTATTAATAAAGTTTCATTGAATCGAAAATCCATGGAGGAAAATAAAAAACATTGTTTCTCAATAATGTACCTATTCAAATTAAAAAAAAAATAAAAACTCAAGTGTGTTAATGTATCGACACCATAATAAAAATACTAAAATATTGGCAAAAACAGCTGTCGTTTAGTGTACTTTATTACAAACCATGTTCCTAAGACATAAACTATTGTTTTATTATTTGTTTAAATTAATACGACCTTTGTGGACCATAAGCACTGGATAATCTGCGGAACCAACTTGAACCTATCGTTTGGTGAACGACTTGTTAAGTTTGATCAACACCGCCGAGTATGTGAAAAATGAAAAATACATCCAATTTTCAATGAACAAAATATATCAACTACAAAATAACGCAATCATTTATAACCCGTTATTATACAGGCTAATAACTTTGATGTTGAAACCTATTATTTGTAGTATTTAGGTACACTTATATAATACATGTATATACGTCTAATATTATATATGGTACTCGTCGCTATGAGTTCCCATCCGCCTTATCAGCTGTCCAACTAAAATATGTTAGGTAACCAAAATTCTTATCAACACTCGACACTCGACAAAGAAATAAACTACAAGCGGCACACAAACAAAAGCTTGCTCGAAATGTATTTGAATGTATTCTCAAACAACGGTTTAAGTACATCACACGAAGTGCCCTTTCTAATTCCGACGACAATATAACATCACATCTTTAACCTACACAATAATATAAAACCAGATCGTAACGATCGTATCAATTTTATGTACAAACCGAATAGTCAATACTGTTTTGTAAAATATGTAAATATAAATGTACTCCAAAACGGATACAAAGGTCGACACGAGGGATTCGTAGTGCTCAACTCATACGGTTGTGTTTATGTGCTTCGAGTGTCGAGACTCGAGTAGGTATCATAAAAAACACAAGATGGATGCGTTTTTCGCGTTTTACCGCCGACCTTAACGTCAACTATGTTATTATAACAATAATATTATTTAGACCATCGAATATTAATAATAATAATTCTTATTACCTACACGAGTCTTTTGATCTTATCGCGCGACTGGAGAAACAATATTGTAATCACAATAGTAATAAACTGTTTTTTATTTGTATTTTTTTATTATTATTATTATTTTAAACGTGTCAAAGCCGTACCGTGATGCTCCCACGCATCTCGCACGGACAATACAACTGCAGCCGTGTGACCCGAATATCGCACAAAAAAATAAATAAAAAACACTTAGGTACTACTAACATACATAAATATCGTTTGTGTTCATATTATTCCTTCTTCTTCTGAACACAAGTCGTGTGTGTGTGAATAGTCACGAGATGCCGTGTTGTCCTTGGACCTTCATAATAAAGCGACCAACCGCAACACGCCAGAGACGACGGTTTATTGCGAAAAAAATGTTCATTACCGACCGTATTGCCTATTAATTTCCAAGCGGCCAAATCGGTGCTCACGAACAACAGGAGTCTGAAAAAGCTCTAAGGACAAGCCACATACAAGAGACCACCACCGTGTAATAATAACAATATGTATGTGTTTTTTGTGGTGCCGCCGCGTAGTCGGGACGGAGAGGCGTTGGATAATTTCGGTTCCATTAGTCTTAAAAAAAAATAAATAAACTCACCCCGACCAGCGATTAGACGACAAGATATTTTTTTGGGGGTTTTTAAGGGAAACACTACCGTGCGCACTTAACGACTGTGCGATAACAACGAGACAGGTTTTTTTTTTTTAGGTTGACCGATAGTGGCACAAAAAGAACGAAGACCATTGTATTGTCCTAATGGATCTCCCTCTCTCTCTCTGAGGAGGAGTTTGAGTTTAAAGATTTGAAGAAAAAAAAACAACGTTCACGGCAATGACGATTTTGGCAAACTTTAGTATACTTACGCACAAGGAAACGGTTCGCAAAACCGCCGACCGTTACACTGTGTAATTTTGTGATTATTTCCCAAGTGGTTTTTTTTACTGTTTGCCCAAACACAACGTTAATGTTATTACGGCGGGCGAAGGTTGGATATTCTCGCCAGGCTAGTGATAAAATAAAATTAACGAATTCGTAAAAATATTACTATTATAAATCCGTCAAAACAAGCTGCACAATATGTTAGAAAAATTGTCCAGAAATCGTCTTTATCGCATATCATACACTGTATTGGAAAATGTTGCTCAATTCCTTAAGGATTTTGTGATATTTGTTGATTGTTTTTTTTCTTCAAGTTTAAGTATCATTGCTATACTGTAGTTTTTTTTTTTTGAGACCAAATCGATAAACATCTTACACATAAGAACGCATAGTAGGTACATATTTTATTAGCCATTGATAAAATAAAATAAAAAACAAGTTTTTTTTTAATATACCT